CTCGGAGTTTGCCATTAATTGACACTCGTCGATGAGTGTCGGTGCGCCCGGAAATTCATGCGGCGGCGGCCCCCACCACGTGACCTCTCAGTGGGAGCCTCCCTTGACACGCGCCCCACAGTTTGGTGAAGCGGTTCGCTGCGGATCGAGAGCCAGGGGCCAGAAAACACTTTAAGGGCTTCCATTTAGACCAAGCGTGCAGAACCGTGCATATGATTTCTGTCTCCATCAGAGATCACAGATGAATCTGAATTCTGTCTCCATCACCAATCACAGATGAATCTGATTTTTGTCTCCATCACAGATCATAGATGTATCTGAATTCTGTCTCCATCACAGAGCACAGATGAATCTGATTTCTGTCTCCATCAAAGGTCACAACGCTCGCTTTACCATGTCATACACACCCAATTCTCTCTCTCTCTCGATCTCTTTGCCGTTCTACTCAGTGCTGAGGGGTTTCCATGACCTCGCTGATGAAACTCATGCCGTTTCGGCGATGTTGAGCTTTTCTGTGACACTGCTACCGATTACATTTACAATTACTCGCTGTCCATCTGTCTGTATCACTTTCTTCCCCCCCCCCCCCTGATTCCGAATGTATCGAATATCAACAGTTTCTCCAGGTTTTTCCCTTCACGCCTGGCTACGTGCCAGAAATACTTCAGGGTTTCCTCGTGCATTTTTACCGGGGTGCACTGTCTTTCTCCTTCATCGCTATTTAGAAGCAAACTTTTAGTCGATTCCTCTTGCTGTCCGCATCATGCAATTCGTCGTCTTCCTTAGCACTGCTGAAAACAAATCTCCGATCTTACTTCGGTTTGATATCTGTGTGCGTTCTAGGCAAATATCGGCACTTGGAAGACACAGACGACGGGGCATGGTCCTAGACGCGCCACCCCTCATATGCAGTGCCAGCCCTTAATAGGCGCTCGCTAACAGCACTTACCCCAACAATCCGTGAAAGAATACACGATGGAAATGTTTGTGCACGTGTAATTGGCCGTTGCGTGCGATAAATAAGGAGGGAGGATCTGCATGACTTTTTGTTTACCTTTTTTTCTCGACAACTCTTCGGCACGCGGGGCGTGCGTGCGTGCCGTCTCGTCCCTGGGTCCCGAGCAGGTGGAGGAAACGAATCGAGTGTTTGTGCTGCGCTTTAAAACATGTGCTCCAGTATCACGGAAAAAACCTCCCCCAACGTTCGTGTGGGCTGTGCCCGGGTTTGTTTCCTCGGAGCGCCCGATCGGACCGAGTCAGCGACGGGTCTTGGTGGCTTAACAGTCCACGCCCGAGTGTCAAGAGGGGCCTGGTGCTGGATTTACACCTTGCAGCACTTGTGCGCGCGCGCGAGCGCACAGGATGCACGCAGCTGACACGCGGCCAGAAACAATGCACCGGTCCGTAAAAGAGTCGACATTCTATTTATTGCTCGAATTATGATGGGCGCGCGGCCGGGGTTCTCTTTTTATCGATAGTCCTGGGCCATTGACATGTCACTCTTAGTTTGTTCTTGTAATTAAAGTAAATACATCACATCACAGTTTTTTTTTAATATTGTGCGTGTGCTGCGTCTGAACGTGACAGCTTTTTCCGTTGGGAAATCTTGCAGAAAGCAGGGGTTAGCGTCACTCTGCGCTGGAGCATGGCTTCTGAAAGATGACGCCGCACAAAACTACTGGAATATTTGTTGCCGCTAATTAACACCGGCGGTGCTGAATTCTCTCTCTCTCCGAGGCAGCTGTCACGTGTGCCCCTGTGTATTAGTTGATCACATGACAATCAAGCCTCAAAAAGTTTGGAGTCATCTGAGCTGGAAATATCTCAAATTGATGGAAAACTTAACTTGTTTGAGGATTTTCTGCAGAATGTCAGGGCTGGAACCGTGAAACTAGCCACACACAAAAAACCCGGTTTAATCACAGGCGGATAAAGATACAGTTGTGCTCTGATGTGTACTTAGCCTCCTGTGCCAGCGGGTCACCCCAGGGAGTCATATGTGGGAACCAGTTTGTCTGCAGATAAAACTCATTGTCGACTTCCCAGAAAGTGATATAGCTGCATCGGTGATGATGATGATGATTCAAACTTGCTGATGAGGATTAACCTGAACCATTACAAAGACAGCAAACTAGAAGCAACAGAAATGTGTATTTCTTTTAAGACGGATGTTAACCATGTCATGGACAGACAAGAACGAGCGACGTGGATTTATTACGGATTATGGATAGAAAACTGAAATTTAATAAGAAGAATTCGAGATTTGTTTTGGGACTGTGGTTTGACTGGGAACATTGTCCGGTGCAAGAGGCCGGGAAGACAGTAAAGTTACAAAAGCAATTTGAACGATTGGATGCAACTGGGAGGAGTATCTAAGAAAAAAACATTCTTGAGTAAATGTCACAGAGCTCAATGGAATGAAGGCCATGATGGCCGACATCTTTGGGGTGCCACCGTGGCTATGAGATGTTAACTACCTCGCCTGGTATACAGGAGGTCGTGGATTTGATCTCGACACTGACACCTGCCGTATATTTTCAGTTTGTATGTTCTCCCCGTGGTCACGTGGATTTTTCTCCGCGTCCTCCGGTTTTTCCCTCCACATTTGGAAACGTTAATTTCCACTTGATAAGCCACTTCTGTGAGCTATCATTTGTGACCAGGTCGTTTCCAACTCAATGGACCTTACCTGGCAAAATTTTTTTTTTATAGTTTAGTTTTAGTTTAGGAAAGGACACGGCTCACGTTGAGAGAGATGATGAAAGATTTATGATGCTTATTATGCCTTAAAGATGACGATGTTGACAATTTTGATGATTATGATGATGGGTTGAATGGACCCTGGCTGGGATTTCATCTCACGATATCGCCTTATTGTGCGATCAACCGAGGAGGCTCATTCCATCGTGTCTATTGATAACATTGTGTATTCCACCAACAAAAGACAAAGATCCCCCATATAACCATAACAGACTGTAGGGACAAGTGCTGTTAGTGAGCACATACGAAGGCCGGCACCACGCACGAGGGGGTGAGTGGCCGCCTTTGTCTCCCTAGTGGCGATGCTTACACACCACACCAAGTACTCATTTGAGGCTGAGTCGACCGAGGGGAGGCTCATGACCCGTTCAGATAATCGTCACCGGTGTTGGCCGTGAGCGGGAATCGAACTGGGGTCGTCGGGTTCGGAGCAGAATGTGCTAATCCACTGCGCCACCGCTCGGTGTGCGCATTGTGTGTGTGCGTATTGTACACACAATAAAAACACAATACACACACACCGTGTATATAAAACGCTGCTGTTAATGCACACATAGCCGTTGACATTTTTTTTTAAACGCAGCGCTACGTTTTGCGATGTGGCAGTATTTTTCGGGTGTGCATGCTGATTTTAAACTTTCATTTCTTCTGGTCTTGCTATTTCTCACCTTGCTATTTGCTTCCGTGCAGTCACTCACTTCCGTGCAATTTTCAACCAAAGCAATTCCCCCCCCCCGCGGAAATGGAATATTTGATGTTGCCTCGGCATCTTTCACAAAAGAACAATGATCGGTTTTTATTTTATTTATGTACGCATTTAATAATAAATAATTCGCAGCCCTTTGTCGTTATACTGCTGAATGAAGGCCAATCTCTCACGCTGTGTTTGTTCGTGGGGGGGGGGGGGGGTCATTTGACCATACTTCACCAAACTGGTCAGTGGGGCCCTGGGGCGGGTGCAGACGTCAACGATGTGAGCCATAGCTCGAAGTCCAACTCAGATCATTGGGTTCACAGCGCAGTGCGCTAACCACCGTACCACCCACCGCTCCACCCTGTTGATGCACTATTTATGCTTTTAATTTTGAATCTGTAATGTTAATTATAGCACAACAAATTAAGTCAAATGTTTGAAATTGAATATCCACGGCAATTTAGGAGATTCATTATTTATTCACTCTATTATTCATGTATTACCGGGCTTGATTATTATTGTTTGTTTTACTGCTTTTGTTTAGCGGTTTATAATCCATGCCATTGGGGATGGCTTTCTGGAGCCATCGCTATTCACTGAAGGCCCAGCCACGGCAGTGCGCGTAGCAACAATGTGCCTTTGGAGAGGTAAAGGGTTAAGACCTGAAAGCACTTTATCTTGGAGTATGAAAGCAAAACTGTAATGAGCTTCGTCTTGCCTGAAAGCAATCAACTACACAGCACATGCTCGTGGCGTTACTGTGTGATCCCTCTATTGCTGCAGAAACAGACCCTTTTTGTGTTTATCTGTGTGTCAAGATAGATATAGTATTTTGTTAATCTTGCGTGTAAAGAACAAAGATGTGTCGCCACCACCCCATTGCTTGTTTGAGCTGGCAGATGCCAAGAGCCCGATTCGTATCTTTGACGAATAAACATTTTCATCTGCGATTTATTTTTCTTTGCCAAAAGCTCATCAAGGTCCGCCATCTCGGACAATGGGGCGACAAATTGCCAAGGCTCATTGGACATGTGGCATCCACCCGTCACACTGCCGGCCACTTCCCCCTCTACCTCTCTCCGTATCCCGGCACCTGGGGCCCCTCCGGCACCTGGGGCCCCTCCGGCCCATGGGCCTCGGTGCAGTTGTACCACCTGCGACGTGAACACGTGACTGTTTTATCGGTAACATTTACTCACCCGGGAAAGCTTCACCGAGTCCCAACACTCATTTTCCGGAGGGTAAGTTTCGCAGTGGGGAGGTGGGTGCGGGGGTTCGTGGTGGAAGGGGGGTGACATCACCATGCAATTTCCCAATTTGGTCATTTGCATGTAATTTTTCACATTCGCAAAATTTGGGACGACGACACCTCCTCTCAACATCAACCAACGACCAAGGCATCCCGCACGTCCACCGCAAGCAGATGACGGCGCGTACCTTTAAACGGTTGACGCGCCTGCCTGCAGCAGGTTTAAATATTATCCGGGGCGGCCTCCTGCGGCTCGCGGTTGTGACCGCGCCGTGCCGGTCGGTGTGTGTCGCGCAGGCTGCTGGACAAGGCTCCGAGCGGCACGGCGTTCATCGCCCTGTGCATCGTGATCCGCTGCCTCGACGGCTTCGGCACGGCCTCCGCCGACACCATGTGCTTCCTCTACATGGCCACCGCCTTCCCCAACAACGTGGCCTACCATGCTGGTGCGTGCCGAGCCCGCGGGCGGCCTCGCGGACTACGGACGCGGCTTAGGGTTACCAGCCATCCTGGTTTTCCCAGGATTGTCCTCTGGGGTGTTGCCGTGGTGAGGAGATGTTATCTACCTCGCCCGGTGCGCAGGAGGTCGTGGGTGCCAACCTGGACCCTGGCGCTTGCATGTTGTATAATTGGAGTTCGTGTATTCTCTTTCTCCCCGAAGTGGTCGTGTGGATGTTTCTCCGTGTCCACTGGTTTTGGCCTCCACGTTTATGAACGTGCATTTATATTACGTGGCTTCTATTATAAATTCGCATGTGTGATGAAAGCCACTTCGATGAGCCAAAATGTGTAGCCAGGTAGCCTCTGAAAAAGAGCTAATAGCTTCGTGAGCTTTCTTCGATAAATAAAATAGTAAAATAGTTTGAGGCAGCTGCCAAGTAAACATAAACTATATTTAAAAAAAGATAAACTAAACATGCCAATGTTGGACCACCCATTGGCATGTGGTTGGAATCATTGTGTCAACGTTGGGAAACGATGGACCAAAGATCCATATTTACTGGACGCTGTACAGGGAAATCTGTAGGTCTTCCTGGGACATTGCTTAATAATTCAGCACACATTCAAGACGACACAATGCCTTTACACTGTAGGTCTCCCATCTTCTGGCATTTTGAGATAGTCTTCTTCCCATACGACCCAGTGTTTTGTACCCAAGAGTTAGCAATCCTATGACACTTGTGCATGCGGGAATTCGCGGCCCAGGCCAAGAGGTCATTGCGGTCAATGACACACCAAGCTTTCGATTCCTAATGATACGTACATTTTCTCAGCTGTGGCACAGTCGAGAAATTTCCTTCAAAGACCGCTCCTCTTCGAGTTTCGCTGCCACCACCTTGCTTGAGGTTATTCTCTCGTTCCACAATCGTGTGCACACTTTCCAGCGTCCTGTGATGCGGCCTCATTCGAAGTTATACGCATACATAGTCATGTCACAACGTATGTATCCAACTGTACTAATCCGAGGTGCGGAGGAAGGACAACAAATGAAACACAAAAAGCAGTTAAAAAAAATAGCTTTCAATTTAGATGTAAAAGTTCATAGCTTTGGTCGCTTCCTAACATCGGAAGGAAGAGCGTTCCAGACGGCCGCAGAAGTGCGTCTGAAAGCGCACGATGCGGTGACCGCCTTTGTTCGATGGCCAGTCAAAAGCCGCTGCCTGCTGCTGCTCCGAGGATGACCGGAGTTCGCGTGATGGTTTGCCACGCGCGCCTGGGGTAGTTGGTAGATCCAGCGCAGTTGTGAAACTGAGGTGGCCCCGGAGATAGCAGTACAGCAAGTAGAGTAAACATATTTCCGGGCGGAGCTTAGAGCGTTGTCCTCTAATTTGTTGGCGGGGGGGGGGGGGTAACAACCCCGTGCCTCACAGGAGGGCTGAACGATTAATCGATTTCAAATCGAAATCGCAATTTGAAACAATGCGATTAGCAAATCGCAAAGGCTGCGATTTTTTGCGATTTAAAATGTCCTATGACTGTTTTTTATTAGAATTGTTTTCTTTTTGATTATTATAACTTAATTTATTTAACTTAACAATTGTTCTATGTTTGATTGTTCTATTTAAATTAAAACATTTTAATAAATACATGTTGGAAGCAATTCATATCTTTAAGTTCTCATCCTTGCATTAGAATATATACAGGAGTTAATATTTTGATGGTATCACGTGGTAATGCTCCATCACTTGTTTTAAATCTATTGCACAGTCAATATTGAACTGAAGCTTGACTTAAAAATGTTTGATCGCAAATCAAATCGCAATGTCAGAAAAATCGCAATTATATATTTTCCCCAAATCGTTCAGCCCTAGTAGTCATAGCAAGATGGCACTGAGTTTGATGTCTTGACTCTGGCACCTGTCTGTATGGAGATTGTGTATTCTCCCCCTGTCCTGCATGGCTTTCCTCATGTAGCAAAGACAACCCGATGCAAAACAACAAATATCTGCAAATTACTCAATTGGGATCACACACAGAAGTAGCAACATCACCCTCTGCTGCGAAAACGTGGCAGCACCTTCTTGAAAACGGAGTCTTGAGACTCGGTGAGGCTTTCCTGGGTAAATAAGTCGAATCATACTAATAACGACAAAGATCCCCCATATTGCCTTAACAGACTGTTGGGGCAAACACTGATAGCGAACGCCTATGAAGGCCAGCACTGCACACGAGGGGGTGGGTGGCCAGCGCCACGCCCGGCCGCCTTTGTCTCCCTCGTGGCGATGTTTATTTCAGGCCGAGTCGACCTAGGTGGAGGCCCAGGACCGGTTCAGATAAATCAGCACCGGTGTTGGCCGTGACCGGGGAAATCGATCCGGGGTTTGCCGGCTTCGTAGCGAAGCCCGCTAACCGCTACACTACCGCTCCCCACAAATAACAACAACGATTTACTGTACACGTGATCACACGCAAGCAATCTCGCCGCCTGCACGACACGAGGTCTGAGCGGCTGCTTTTACACCAGAGGTCGCAACCGGGTACCCGATACCCGTACCCTGCCCGATACCCGGCTACCCGAACCCAGCCGGGTACGGGTACCCGTTTTCGACCCTGGTGCGGCCGGGTACGGGTAGGCCGTAACTGTTTGTCACTCATTTCCCAACGTCTTGTCTCTTCTCACAATTCAAGTTCCTAGAATCAACCGACCCGCGCCTGCAACATGGCTTCATCCCAGAGGTCGCAATCAGGTACCCGATACCCGTACCCTACCTGTACCCGGCCGGGTACGGGTAGGGTACGGGTATCGGGTAGGGTACGGTTACGGCCGGGTACCCGTTTGCGACCCTGGTGCGGCCGGGTACGGGTAAGGAATCAAAACCCGTTTGCGACCTCTGTTTTACACCTCCTGTGTGGCCGTGTTCCCGGCGTTAACGGACACGTGGCCGCCAAGCCCCTAAGGGCTGAGCCGACTGAGCCGCACTCCCTCCGCTCGCCACGAGGGGGCCGCAGAGGCGCGGTCCCCTCCGTGGGACAGCAGCGGGGTCGGGCTGGGGGCAAGTGGCTGCGTCTGCCGACTTTCTCTCGTGAGCCCCAGTTTCTCTCAACAACGCCCACGTAAATTTCGATTTAAAGCTTTCGTGACTCCAGGGATTCATCTTCTTGGTTCTTTCGGTAAAGTCACGTAGAAGGGAAATAATAAAATAATAAAAATAAAACATAATAAAATAATTCTCACGACGTTTCGGCCACAACGCAAGCAGTCGTCCTCAAGGATTATTATTTTATTATTTCCCTTCTACGTGACTTTACCGACAGAACCAAGAAAACGCCCACGTAGCTTCAGCTAGGACCCAAAGAGCGACGACCAACGTCGAAGTCGGCAAACAAAAAGGTTGCACGTAGAAGAAGGCAACCCTGATGGTGCAGGCAGTGATGAGAAGGAGACTGGGCACTGTGTTGGACATGCATGGAGGATGGACTACAACATGAAAATTAAAAGTGTGTTGTTGTTCGGAAAAAATGGAAGGAACCGGAGATAGAGGAAGACCTCGCAGACTTTTTAAACAACTTTTATTGCCACCAGCAGCAACAGCACTGGAGGTGATTCCGATACGGAATACACAAAGTCACCAGCAACCAATACCACAAACACAATACAACCATGCGCTGTGGCGCTAGATACGCCGCGTACAACACAAAAAAGTCACGTGGTGGTGGTGGTCATCGCGCACGCCACGCGGACGAGCGAGCGCTTCAGAAGACAACGAGATAAGAAGTCACAGCTTCTCGAGACGCTGGCCTTCCTCAAGAGATGCCGAGATAACAAGGTAATACCCATCGATACAAGGACTGTTTTCTTGGACTTTCTCTTACTTGGCGCAGGCAGTGATGAGAAGGAGACTGTTTAGGGAAATAAAATTAAATATTTAATTACCAATTGCTTAATGGTGGCAGACAATCATCTGACCCATAGGTGGCAGCCATCTCAAGCCAGAGGATGAGAGGACTCTAGCCGTCACGCATATAAAGGATTTATAGTGAAAAACTTGTTTTTACGGGTTAATTTTTTTCTCGTCTTGTCCACCGCCATCTTCGCTTGAGCACAGACGAAGTTGGCGAGGTCATGGCGCTTGTTAGGCACCACATATACGAAGCTGCTGTTGTAGAAGGGCACCCACAGAACGGCTTGGCGACGACATCACAAGAGATCGGTGCCAGAAAGATGTGGCCACTACTTGAGCATATTGGCACAAGACAGAAGGAAAGTGTAAACAAATGATAGAATGTGCAGAGAACATGTGCGGCCTATCTGCCCATAGATCGTGGTGATAGCTTCAGTTTAACACGTAGGCTTTCACGACCCATATCCACAGCTAGGCCTCGGCAAGGTAAGGTAAAAGTTAAAAGGTAAAAACAACGAGCCTACCTTTTACCCTTACCCCATACACATTACCCGATTACAGGGTAATTACTAGGGAACTACACATCAACACGGTTTATAACGGTAAATGCTAGCTAGAGCGCTTTATTAATATAGAATACTCTCGATGATTCCAATTTTACACGCTTTCTATTAACTCACTGTCTGCTGTTGTTGTCATTGTTGTTGTCGTCGTTGTATCCTGAAATCTTGTAACTCAATTTTTACCACTTCCTAATGTGGTATCGACTGCAAACTTCGTATACTTATATCATACTGATGACAATACTATATTCTATCATTAAACCAATATATATTTCTTAACATTCTTTTTTATATGTTATGTTTTGGCTTGGGTCCAATTGTCCACGCTCAACTGACGTTGGCTGTAATTAGCTAGGACCCCTTACGTTGTGGCAAGCTTCGGGGCCACTTCCTGGAGTCGTGGAGTTCTGCCATTACGAGTACATTTAATAAAAGCGTGTTTTTAATAAAGTTGTTTTAAATACTACTTATTAAATGGAGGCCACGGACTGCGCCACGGAGCTTCTAGCGGTAAACAAGGTACCGTATTTACCGGGTAATACTTGGCGCTACCTTTACCCTACCGGGTAATTCTTCCGAGCTACCTTTACCCTACCCTTTACCTTACCCCTTGGCATGTCGACACCTTTACCTTACCTTGCCGAGGCCTATCCACAACAAAGGCTTTTTGAGTGAGATCGTGTAAATATAAATGTGTCGTTAAACCCACCACCACCCGACACAACCAATCAGTAAGAGTTTAGTTACAAACTGTGTTGGAGAGTAAATCCACAACATTTACAATTCTACTACGGCGTTTCTCTGGCGATTAGCCTGATGAAGCTGGTTGTAATCACCAGTGAAAAGTCGTACTTGAATTGTAAATGTTGTGGGTTTACTATGCAACACACAAGTGGCGTACTGAAGTAGTAACAAATTGGCACGTTTCGTTTCCGTGACAAACCTTACTAATTGGCTGTTTCGTGTGTTGGCGGGTTTCAACAACACATTCATATTTACGTGATGTAATCCATAGCTTCACTATTGTTACTTATGTTCTCCACAACGACACTATTAATTATGTAGTGTTTTGTATTCTATCGTTGGGCCTCGCTAAAAGAGACGGTCCTTGCCTATAAATATCTGGCAGTTCACCGGCATAGATTCAAGCCAGGCGTGACTGCTGATGAGACACCATGTGTCGAAACCGGTCCACAGTTTGCTTAAACTGAATCAATGCTGCTGAAATTATTTTTGGGGTGGTTAGTTGTGTAAAAATATATTTTTTACGTGGAGAAACAGATATGTGAGGGAGACATTGTCTGATTATCTGGGCACCAAGGTGGCAGGATGTTAACTACTTCGCCTGGTATACAGGAGGTCATGGTTTCGATCCCGATCCCGATCCCTGACGCCTATATATTTGGAGTTTGCATGTCTCTCTCTCTGTGGTTGCGTACATTTTTCTCCGGATCCTCTGACTTTTTCCCTCCACATTTAAGATCAACATACGCTTGAGTATTTGGCTGCTATAAATCTCCACGTGACAAGCCACTTCGGTGAGATACCATTTGTGATAGCCAGGTCACTTCTGAAAAAGAGCTCGATAGCTCAGTGGACCTTACCTAATAAAATAACAAAAATAGTTTCAATTGTTTAAATCTATACTCTTTGGTTTTTTCGGTAAAGTCACGTAGGTAAAAAAAAGAAAGCAAATAAAATCACGACGTTTCGGAGGCAACACAAGCTTCCGTGTTGCCTCTGAAACGTCGTGATTTAATTGAGTTGTTTTCATTGATGTATTATTATTAAAAAAAACATTTTGACCTACGTGACTTTACCGTAAAAACCAAAGAGTATGAATCCTTGCAGTCACGAAAGCTTCAAATCTAGAATTGTTTAAATATATTTATGGCTTTTTGCGATCGGATAATCATAAAACACGTTCAGTGTAGTTGGTATGGTCGTGAGGAGCGATGAGCCCTTAAACAACGGAGATGTAGGGGGCATGCAGGGTTTGTAACAAGGAAGGAAACTAAATAGACACAGCAACAATTTATGCATATATTTCACGAAAATTATTAATATAACCTGCCCGTTAAATTAGGTTTAGGCATGAGTTGAAGCCCATTAAGATAAATTGAGCATTATAATTACAGTTCTGGTAAATGTGAGGCATATTTTAAGTGGTGTTCATTAGAAAGAGATTTAGAGAACAAATGAAGATCGGAGGCATTGACTGTGAAGGAAAATAGCCTGTTGGCTTGGACACGATGCATCAGCGCTGTTGGGGATGATGATGATTGATGGACAAGACTGCCGACGGAATGGCAGTCAAACGCATCTGAGAGGACGACAGCCGTGGAGATGGAGCAATAGGAGCTGTTCGTGCGGGGAGTCGGTGGATCGCACAAATATTCGTGAAAACTCCGTAACCTGCTGGCCAGCGTGGTGGCTAGGGCATTTGCGAGTGGGTTCACGAACCCATACGGCCTTCCCTCGCACCTCCGATGGGCACGGTTGGCTACGTATGGTGCGAAAGAAGTTCAACATACACACATGCACGAGCTTGCTCCAGATAGTCAAAATAAAGACACTCATTCAAATATCATTCTGCCGCGCAATCCACCGTGGAACTCTCTTGAAAATTTGACACGAGACTCAGCAAGGACGTCCTAAAAAAATGGATTGCTTAACGCATTCGCACGCCTATTACGTGTGGAAACATTGCTTTTCATTCAGCTGTGTGGATATGGCACATATCAATGCCTTGAGGTCATTCACCATACCTCTACCTGGGCATCAGTTACAGGACCGCATTGCCACTTTTCTGTCGAGGCTTAGTGCCGTGGCGAGAACAATATCAAGGAAAATGCTCAAAAAACCCATTCACCGTTGCGAAAAACCGGATTAACGGCGGGCTGTTATTCGAATGCCGTAGCACTCACACTGAAATAGCGTGACCTGACTCAACGGGGTCAGCGTAGGAGGCGACACAGCCAGAGGAGGTTTCGTACGTTTCCCACGCACCGCTGCGCATGTATCCGATCAGGGCCACCTGGCCCGCGATCGAGAGTTCAAATGTCAGCCAGCAGTTGACTCAGCCCATCGTCCTTGCTCCAGGGGTGTATTAAAATCAGGACCGTTTTGTGAGCCATCGTATAACACGTCGTCCCACGTAAATCATGGCTCCTACAATGAGAATGTGGAATTGCCACCGTTGGCTTAAGGCTTGCCAATGGATATGAATGCCACCCCCATAGTTCTCTTGGGCAGGAAGACGTGAGCAGCGGTGCAGAGGAATCTGTCGTCGTCCTGCACATCTATACTCCCACGTCTATGCTGCCACATCTACGGGGGAGGCCCTAATCCAGCAGTGGATTTACAAAGGGCTGTACACGCATTCTGGACGTAAGGGCTGTTTCCGAGCACCTCTTATACTACCAGCACCACGCATCTCCAGCCACCTTTGTCTCCCCAGTGCCGGCGTCACACGAGCAGCCTCTTCTCACTCGTCAGCTCCTATCCCTCAGCTTCTCTTCCGCAAGCCATGCTTCGGTTGAAAGCACCGATGTAAGCGTTTCCACGCAGCCCACTCCCCACCCCCGATATAAACCCCCGGTTAATGCGCAGTGATACGCGCCTAAGACTGTGCATGCACAAACACAATTAACTCCGCACAGCGCTCGCCCGAGCCACCTCTTATCACGTAAATCCTTCGCGCCGCGTGTTAATCCCTTGCCGATTAATTTGTATAGAGCGCACTTGCCCCGTTTACCCGAAGCCAGACTTAGAGACGCCCTCTGCCCTATCACCTCTGCGCGGTTCCCCACGCCGTGCGGGCAGACGGTCGCTCCACGCTCTCGTCTCTCGCTTGATGCCCCGAGATGCTGTGCCCTTCCACAGTCACGTCGCTGCACCTGCACCCAAATCCGTTGGCTGTTGCTTCTCGCGTTCCCGTTGTTGTCCTTGTTGTTGTTGTTGTCTTACTCGCCCGATTGAGTTTGCCTCGCGCACATCTCCTCTTCGACCTTTCCCATCGCCTCGTACCTCGTTTCTCGTACCTTGTTTTTGGTGCAGTGTGCCCGTTGTTCATGTTGTTAATAGCGCACATTTTTTTGTTCCGTAAGCACACATTCTTTTGCCTGCACCTCTGACGCGTTTTTTTCCGCTGTCGCCCGTTCCTCTGTGAGCATCACTCTGCTATTGTTGTTCTTGTCCTATGCTGATAGCACCACGGATCTCCCTTCCTTGCAAACCATAGCTGGTTAACTGGCATCACGGGATTTTCCGTGTAACAAATAAGCGCTGATTGATTAATTCCGCTTCACGCTGCTTGCACTGCTGCTGCTGAATACACTCAAGGTGGCTGGCTCTCTCCGATGAGTTTTCGGGTTGTGCCGCGCGATGTCCGACGTTTTGCTCAACGTGCTCGGAGCTTCGATCGATTCCCGAACGGCACGCGGCAGCAACTCGAAATCACGCCGGAGAGCCGTACGGCACGACTGCGGAAATCTCAACCGAAACTTAAAGTTGGCTTCACAATGATTCGCTCAACACGTGTAACGGAACGACCAATTGAGCCTCACACTCAGGTGATGTCAAAGGGGTGTAGAGTTACATTCGATTTGTTGAACTTTATTCGTGTTCTCATTGCTTTACTTCACTGCTCTGCTTCGTCTTGCCATTTTTCTTTAGCCATTTTTGGATGGCCCAGATCACGCACGCTAATTAACCCATTCCCATTCCGATGACGTATGTGTACGTCATCGGTGTGTACGTCATCGGTCTTTCTACCGATTCTGCTCCGATTACTTACACGTATGTAAAAGGCCATGCGGAAGGGCGTGTTGCACAGTTTGGCAGCAGCTATCGTAGAGTGTGGTTGTGTCGCTACAGTTCTCTGCGGTGAGTATAACACCTTAAAAAACAGCGACGCTACGCCTCTCTAAATAAACTTAACGCTCACCGTTTGCACGTTCCGAGATTCAGCGGTGAATGGGAAACCCACCCCACAACTTTCAGTCGTCTTGGAATGGGAAAGGCTTACACTCACCCGGTTCAACAAAGCAATGTTGACCAGCGCAATCTAAACCCTGTGTTGTGTGTTGAGGGGCGCAGGGAATGGTGGAGATTTTCAATGGCGTGGGCATGCTGCTGGGGCCACCCCTGGGCGGACTGCTGTACGACGCGTGGGGCTACGAGGTGCCCTTCGTGGCGCTCGGCTCCACGCTGCTGCTGCTCCTACTGCCGCTAAGCCTGAGCGTCCTGCCTCGTGATGGTGAGGGGCTAAACCTTGCGCACATCCAGGGCTGGGCCATACACAAACTCTATAAAGATGTTTATTTATTTTCTGTATGTACGTATGGATGTTGAACTTCCATAAGAGTTTTTTTTTTGGTTAGGTCATGTAAATATGAATGTGTCGTTAAACCCACCACCACCCGACACAGCCAATTAGTAAATAAAACATGCCTATTCGTTATCAGTTCAGCACACGGGTTTGTTGGAGAGTAAACCCACACAACATTTACAATTCCACTACGACGTTTCGCTGGTGATTAGCCTGATGAAGCTGGTTGTAATCACCAGTGAAAGTCGTACTTGAATTGTAAATGTTGTGGGTTTACTGTAGCAACACACAAGCGGCGTGCTGAAGTAGTAACAAATTGGCACGTTTTGTTTTCGTGACAAACCTTACTAGTGTGGTGGCGGGTTTAACAACACATTAATATTTACGTGCTGTAATCCATAGCTTCACTCTTGTTACTTATGTTCTCCACAACGACACTATTGATTATGTTGTGTTTTGTATTCTATCGTTTGGCCTCGCTAGAAATGTCGGTAATTACAATCATACTCATCACCGTACGTAGCTAAACGTGCTAATCGGAGGTGTGTGGGGTGGGGGGTCAACAAACTAACTACAAAAAGTAGTTTTAAAGAAATGCGTTTTCAATCTATAGTTTTACCAGGTAAGGCCCACTGAGCTATGCAGCTCCTTTTCAGAGGCGACCTGGTGGCAAATTAAGTGGCTTATCACGTGGAAATGTATAGCGGTCACATAATCTAAACGCACGTTTCTAAATGTGGAGGGGAGAAAAAACGGAGGACCTGGAAAAAAATTCACACGGCCACGGGCAGAGAGAGACATTCAATACTCCAAATATAGGGGCATCGTCAGGGTCGGGATCGAATCCATGATCTCATGTATACCAGACGAGGGAGATAACATCTCGCCACCTCAGCGCCCACTCAAGGGGGACCATGGGAAAGGGTGGGCGGCAAGGTGCTTGTTAATTTGCGTTTGTATAGCTAGGTGAGAAACCAAGAGACTCAGATGGGTCCCATTTGCAAGAGTGGCCCAGGTTGCCAAAATTACAAAATTTAAAGCAAATTATGAGTAAGTTCAGAGATCAAGCAAACATAAATCAGAGCAACAATAACTGTGTCCTGTAGAAAATCGAACACATTGGACAAACATTTATCAATGTTGAATAAGACATTTGCTGTAGCGCAAGTTGGCTAAGGCAGTTTCTTTTAGACCTGATTGTAGTAATAGTAGAAATGAATCTTCTTGGTTCTTTCGGTAAAGTCACGTAGAAGGGAAGTAATAAAATAATAAAAATAAAACATAATAAAATAATTCTCACGACGTTTCGGCTGCTTGCGTTGTGGCCGAAACGTCGTGAGAATTGTTTTATTATGTTTTATTTTTATTATTTTATTACTTCCCTTCTACGTGACTTTACCGAAAGAACCAAGAAGATGAATCCCTGCAGTCACGAAAACTTTAAATCGAAAAGTACAAATGAAGTTACAAAAAGCTACTGATATGTAAATAAACAAAGACATAATGAATGTGAATCATGTTCAAATTACCGTTAGCCACTGGGTAATTAACGGCATGTTTAACTTGAAAGGCACATAAGCCAGGCATGGAGGAACAGTGCAGAGGCGCTTTCCAGGGCTGCATGAGAGAGAATTCCTGGAAAAACCAGGAATTGTGTTTTCCGCTTGCGACACGCGGCACGATGTTCGCTCACCCTTTGGTAGATAGAGAACGACTCAAAGGCACGAGGAATCGCAGACACGCGGGAAGGCAGCCATGCGGCGAGCCGGTGCCAACAATTGCCCAAGCTCTATGGCCCCTTACATAGTAAGATGTTTCAGCAAATTGATGAGTGTTTACACATGTGGGAGTAAGTCTGAGCACCCGGAGAAAACCCACGTGTGCGAGGGGGCAACACTCTATCCCGTACTGATGGAACAGATGGAAATCAGTCCAGTTTCTGCTGTACGGCCGTCTCTTGGAAACTCATTGAGTTTCGCAACTTTTGTGCGATAATCCACCAACCCTCGCTGCTGCTGCCTCTGCAGTGCTGGATTACAGGCAGCCACGTGCAGCGCAGATACCGCCACTGCAGAGAAATAAAAAAGACTCAAAACAAGACATTGTCAAGGATTTCTGGGCACTCAGCAAAAGGATGTCTTGGTTATAAATAGAATTTACTTTGGGAATGCTTGGGTAAGTGATTTTTTTTTATATGTGGGTGGGGGGGGGGGTATATATATTTTTGCGATCACTTACAAAACGTTTATTCCCGGATTTAAACACGAGGGTGGCAGCGCGCGTATATATCTCCAACGTAGTGGAGCGTGACCGCAGCCCAAGGGCATCCTCCTCCATGCGGCCGGGGGGAGAAGCGAGCGCGGCTGTGGGAATCCCATTAAAGACCACGACGGAAGATTATGACAAATTTGCACGATTATAGTGAGTCATCTACGTGCAAAATTGCACCCTAAGTTTTAGCCCACTGGCCTGAACCAGGTAATTGGCTCGGATTCCACCTCCGGTTAGCACGGTTGGCTGCGTGTGGTGTGAAAGAAGTTCAACATGCACGTTCATTCCTTGCCCAGTGTAAACACCGGCGAGATGTAAACGTAACCACGTACTGCGGCCTGTGGCTCAAGTGCTTGCGGGCGATGCGTCGCCTACCGGCGAGCCTCGTGCGCACGCCAGGGGACGACGGAGTGTCAGTGCCGGATTATGCCAGTAGCAAAAGTAGCTACATATGTAGCTACGGGCCCCACACTCTCAACGGCCCTGGGCTAAATGCTTTCAAGCTATTAATTCCGGTTCAGTGATTCTGCACTTGCTCTATTGCTACAGTACTATACTGCCTTCAACTTTTATGAACGACTGGGTGTTTAAGGTTAGCGATTTGTCGTATTATCTGGCTGTATAGCAAATGAAAATACACAATTACTTTACTATGCAAGTAAAACATTTGTGGTTTAAATGTTATATATATTTATTTAGGGCCCCTTGATAACATCATGCTACAGGCCCCGCTTTAGCTGAATCCGGAATTACAGAGTAGCTGTGCTGTGCGGCGTGGCAGGGAGCGCCGGCTTGGGAATGCATCTACGACTTCAAGAGTTTTCTTTCCTTTACAGCAGTCGCCAACAGCATCCATGTGTAGTGACTTTCGGGGATGTCACTGTATGGTGCCGGCCCGGAATCGCCGTACTGTTCGACGTTCCTACATCGTGGACAGCACCGTGTGGGTGGCTGTGTGTAATGCCAGCCCCAGCGGGGCTTGGTGAGCACTGGGATCGTGCGGGCACTACGCACAGCGTGTGGTGGGGGCTCCCACGAAGGGGAGTGGGTGAGCGTCAGCCCAGAGGCAGGGTTGCCCCAGGCCTTGGCACTCTGGTTGACCCCGTAAACACGTGATCCGGAGTGTCCACACAGTGGGCCCCAGGTGGGGGGGGGGGCTAGTGGGTGATCACGTGTCTGGGGAGAGCTCTTGAGAAGGATCGAGAGGGAACGAGAATGCTCGAGAAGGCGGGCGGGCCGAGGGTGGAGCGGCCCCAACCATAGGGGGATATAAGGCGGGTCCCGGAGAGGGACCGGGGTCTCTTCTTTCGACAAGCTGGAAGCTCGGTGTCTCAAGCTAAATGCTCTTGGTCTTACGAGGAAACCACGTGGTCGGAGACCCGGGTGAGAGTCCGACCCTTGGTAGCAGTAACTCCTCTGTATAGGGTAGTTAGCTGGGTAGTCACCACCCTAAGCTATATCTGGTAAAGGGGCAGTTACCCCTTTGTGTTACGGTGTTACAATAAATGTGTTGCCTCTAAAAGAAACAACGTCTGCTACTCAGTTGGACTCATTACACATGTATAACAAAAGACTCCGTTAGGCACTGCTGGTCTCCGTTGGTCTTTTATTCAAGTTCTTTCTCCACACCCCGCTTGTCTCCTCCGTGGACCAGCGTCGTCTCGCGCGCGCCCCACACGCGCTTCCTCCTCAGCTCCTCCACTCTTCCTCACACCCCGCTGGTCCTGACAAGGGACCAGCATCTCCTCACGCGTGCCGCGCACGCTCCTCTCGCGTGCTGCGCACACTTCTTTGTTAGCTCCTCCTCGCGCGCGCCCCACACGCGCTCTCCCATCAGCTCCTTCTCGCGCGCGCCCCGCACGCGCTCTTCCGTCAGTCGCTCCGCTCCTCCCCGCTCTGCACACCGCTGGCCGACAGTGTGCCGAAGCCCCATCAGCCACGTGGCTGATGGCGCGGCGGCCACCCAACGTGGTCCCGCTTCTTCACTCCAACAACTGACTCCGATCTCTTCCGGGCTTCCACTTATATCCTCTTCTCCACGTGACCCTGACTCCCCCCCTTCCGGATCGTCAGATCCGGCCTTCCCATACTACCCTGCTGGCTCCACCTCCATTCACCTCGCTTTCCATTGAAGCCGAGGTGAACGGCGGCCCCTCCCACACGTCCCCCATACCGGGCTCCGCCCCCCAATACCCCGGGCTGTGTGATTGGGCCAGAGCCCAGCAGCAACCCCATTTACGCTCGCATTACATGACCCCCCCCCCCCCCGATAAAAAGCCAGCCGTCCCGGCTGAAATAGGATAAAATAATGCGAGCGACGGCAACACACTCAGGAATCATAACCGACACAACGGAGAGCACAAAACGACGAACACAATCAACGAAAGGGAAGGGAATAGGATCCGGTACGGAACCGTGCAACAAGCAAGAATAATTAAAGAATGGAAGGCAATGCACAACAATGGTAAACGACACGCAAGAACGGCAGACGCGCATAAATCAGGAATGCAGTGTCTTAGAGCGTGTCCGTGTTGCTGGTCCATCCGCCTGGCTCAAGTCCAACTTCAGAGAACAACTGGTAGAGCAGGAGTGACGAACAGGCGCTCCACTCCCCCTTCAAATTCACATCCGGTTAGCACAACCGGTGACACCCAGTG